ACACACACGCGTGCGCATTATGTATTTGAGCATATAAAAATCTAAAATTTCATGTGGGGGAAAAAGTCAAGGACAAATGTAAAACTAGGGAAGAAATATTTGCAAGGCCCTTTAACATTTGCAAGTCTCCTTAATATACAATAAAAAGACAACTCAATAGACAAAGGGTAGGAACTGACAGTTCACCTCCCTCAAAATACAAATGCCTATTAAATATATCAAAAGATGCCTAGCTTCACTCTTTAAAAAAAAGAACTACAGTTTATGAGATCACATTTTTCACATGCCAGATTGGCAATAGTGTACTTTAATAACATATTGTGTTGGTGAGACTGTAGGGAAACAGGAACTCTCACATTGGTGGTGGGAGTGTAAATTGGTTCAATTCTCCAGAGAGTCATTTGTCAGTGTCTATCAGAATTTAAAGTGGATATACTTCTAGCAATTTATCCAGCAAGTAAAAGACATTTTGGTTCATCCATACAAAGGCATACAGTACAGACCTTGTAAAAAATGAAGCAGCTCTTTATCAGTGATGGGGAACGATTTTATTTATTTTTATTTATATATATATGTATTTTTTTTTAACCAAGATACATTTTTAAGTGAACCAAGAGGTAGAGGACAGTATATGTTATACTTGTCTAGAAACAAAAAGAAAAAAATGTATTTTCTCTATGTACAAATAAGGATTCTTTGCTTGTATTATCCACTATCTCTGGGAGGAACAGAAGAAATCAAACAGTATTTGCCTCTGGGGAAGAAAACTGGGTGGGTAGAGGATGGGTGGGGAGGATATTTACTTCTCATTTTATACTCTGTCTATACCATGTGCACGTATTGTCGATTAAAAGATTGAAACAAACAAGGGGGAGGGGAAGTGAGAAGACCAGTCAGGAAGCTGTGACCATAGTCCGGGGAAAACATACCAGTGGCCTGGGCTAAGCTGGTGGCAGGAAGGTAGAGAAAAGTAGACAGGTTCAAGATTTTTTTTGAGATAAAATGTACAGGATTTGTTGATGCAGTGGTGTGGGAGATTATTGAAAGCGAAGAATAAAGGATGAGTCCCAGGTTTCTGTTAAGTCGCAGGGTAGGTGGAAGACTTGGTTATCTAAGGCAGTGTCCTGTGAGCTCTTGAGCCTGATGGCTGGGACTTGAATTCAACCTATTCTACTTCCTAACTCTATGATCTTGGGCAAATCATGTGATTGCTTTGTGCTTAGGAGCCCTCATCTGTAAAATGGGAATGATAATATGACCTACCTCAGGGTTGTTATAAGGATTAAATGACTTAATACATGTACACTTTAGAACAGCTCCTGGAACATAGTAAAAGCTATACAAGTGGTTACCTCTATTAATGTTATTCTTTCTTTTTTTATTCCTCACCCGAGGATATTTTTCTATTTATTATTAGATAGAGTGGGAGGGAGGGAAAGAGAGAGACAGAAAGAAACATCAATGTAATAGAGACACATTGACTGGTTGCCTCCCACACTACCCGACCAGGGCCAGGGATGAACCACAACCTAGGTATGTGCCCTTGACAAAGGTACATGGCCTTGACCGGAATTGAACCTGCAAGTCATTGATCCTCAGGCCGACTCTCTAACCGCTCTAACTGCTGAGCCAAACCAGCCAGAGCTAGTCTTTTTTTTTTTTTAAACTTCTCTTTATTGTTGAATGTATTACAGATGTTCCCCCTTTTTTTCCCCATTGACTTCTTCCTCCCCAATATCGTTCCCCTCCTGCTTTCCCCACACGATTGTCTGTGTCCATTGGTTATGCATATGTGCATATGTTATTTTTTCACTATTAATTTATTTTTGTTACAGATGTTTCTCTTTTTTCCCCACAGACACCCTCCTCCCTATCTTGCCCCCCTCAAATAGTGTTGACTGTGTCCATTGGTTACACATACATACATATAAGTTCTTCGGTTTATCTCTTCCTGCCCCCCTCTCACCTTCCCTTTGAGGTTCATCAGTCTAAAAACCAGTTTGTACTTCTTAATTCCTTCATCTTTTTCACCCATCCCCCTAGCCCCCTCCCATCTGGCAAGCAACAAAAAGTTCTCTGTATCTATGAGTCTGTTTCTGTTTTGCTTGCTCATTTTATTTGTAGATTCAATTGTTGACAGATATGTATTTATTGCCATTTTATTGGTCCTATTTTTGTTCTTCTCCTTCAAAAAAACCCTTTAACATTTCATATAATACTGGTTTGGTGGTTATGAACTCCTTTAGCTTTTTCTTGTCTGGGAAACTCCTTATATGTCCATCGATTCTAAATGGTAGCTTTGCAGGATAGAGTAATCTTGGTTGTAGGTCGTTGCTTTTCATCACCTTAAATATCTCTTGCCACTCCTTTCTGGCCTGCAGAGTTTCTTTTGAGAAATCGTCTGACAGTCTTATGGAAGCTCCTTTGTAGGTAACGAACTGGTTTTCTCTTGCTGTTTTTAAGATTCTCTCTTTGTCTTTAACCTTTGGCATTTTGATGATGATGTGTCTTGGTATGGGCCTCTTGGGGTTCATCTTGTTTGGGACTCGCTGTGCTTCCTGGACTTGTATGTCTGTTTCCTCCACCACGTTAGGGAAGTATTCTGTCATTTTTTCTTTCTTTCTTTCTTTTTTTAATTTTTTTTTCAGATGGAAGGGGGAGAGAGAGAGAGAGAAACATCGACGTGAAAGGGACACATTGAGTCGTTGCCACCCGCACAACCCAATCAGGGCTGGGGACAAACTGCAACTGAGGTACGTGCCCTTAGCAGGAACCAAACCCAGGCCTCTCTGGACTGCAGGCCGACTCTCTAACCGCTGAGCCAAACCAGCCAGGGCTGTCATTATTTTTTCAAATAGGTTTTCAATTTCTTGTTCTCTGTCTTCTCCTTCTAGCACCCCCATGATGCGAATGTTGGCACGCTTGAATTTGTTTCAGAGGCTCCTTACACTATCCTCATTTTTTTGGATTCCTTTTTCTTTCTGCTGTTCTGATTGGGTGTTTTTTGCTTCCTTATATTCCAAATTGATGGTTTGCTTCTTGGCTTCACCTACTCTACTATTGATTCCCTGTAAATTATTCTTTATTTCAGTTAGTGCATCCTTCATTTCTGACTGGTCCGTTTTTATGTTGTTGATATTCTCACTAAGTTCCTTGGAGGTCTCCTTAAATTCCTTGAAGTTCTCTCTAAGTTCCTTGAGCATCCTTATAACCAGTGTTTTGAACTCTGCATCTGATTGATTGCTCGTCTTCATTTTGTTTAGTTCTTTTCCTGGAGTTTGTTCTTTTCTTTCACATGGGACATGTTTCTTTGTCTCCTCGTTTTGGCTGCTTCCCTGTGATTGTTTCTGTGTAGTAGGTAGAGTTGCTATTGTCTCCTAGGCTTCATAGGCTGGCCTACTGTTATAGGTGTCCTGTAGGATCCAGTGGCACAGCCTCCCTGGTCACCCCAGCTGGGCCCTCAAGGTGCACGCCTAGTGTGGACTGTACACCCTTCTGTTGTAATTGAGTCTTGATTGCTGTTGGCATATCAGTGGGAGGGATTTACTCAGGCTGATCAGCTGCAAGGACTGGCTGTGCCCACTGACCACTGGCCTCTGACTCCCTTGGAGGATCAGCTGTGTAGGGGCCCACCACACAGAGCAAGACTTACTTCAGCAGGGCTCTGGTACCCACTGAGTCTACTCATTCAGTGTGTCACTTGTGGAGGTGGTTGAGTGGTGGTGCTTCGATGTGGTCTGAAGCTGTCCACTGGGTGTGCTGGCTCTGGGGCAAGGTCAGCCTCTGCCCATGTTCTACCCAGGGCCATCAAGCATAAGGTACAAAGTGATCTGCTGATGGCTGCTTCTTGTGCTATGTTTGGAGGTGCCCAGGAAAAGCCAAACTGTGAAGCAAGGTTGGCTGCTTCTAGTGCCAGGCTTGGGGCCACTTGACGAGAGGTATGGGGCTCACTGAGACCAGATGCTGCTTGTTTGAGAGATTTTAGGAAAATCTGAGGCAGGATCCAAGACAGGCCTATCCTATGGTAAAGCCATTGGAAACAGCTTGGGTGGGCCTGAAAGTTGGGTGGGGCGGGGGCCTCAGGGAATCCCTAGGGCCGGGCAAACACTGGGAACCTGGTTGCTGGAGTCCCAGATATGGCTGCCGACTGCTGCCCCAGGGAAGGGCTCATCAAAGGAACAAAGGTCTATCTGGGAGAAAGCTGCCCATGCAGCTCTTGCCCCGATGCCAAATGAAGGGGATTCTTCACTGTATGTCTCTGATTCCCTTCAGTCTGCCTCCCCCACATTGTAGCCTGGAGGGAGTGAGTCTGAGTAAGTCTTTGTGGGGACTGCCTGAGCATCCAGCAGCCTCAGCCTCACTCAGCCTCATTTCCCTCTGGTTTTTACAGCCAGAAGTTATGGGGACTTCTCTTCCTGGCACTGGAACCCTGGGCAGGGTGCTTGGTGTGGGACGGGGACTCCTCACTCCCCAGGGAGGACCTTCACAGCTGAGGTGTCCTCCTGATTTTATCCGCCACACCTGGGTGTGGGATCAGCCAGTCCTCACCTCTGCTCCTCCTACCAGTCTCCATGTGGCTTTTTCTTTAATTTTGTAGTTGTAGGACTTCCATTCAGCTTGATTTCAGGCAGTTCTGAAGGATGGTTGTTCTGTAGTTTAGTTGTAATTTTGATGTGGTTGTGGGAGGAGGTGAGTACCTGTGCTGCTATCCTGACCAGAAGTCTGTTGTTATTCTTATTACTGCGACTAAGATAGCTGCTAAGACTATAACTACCTCTGCTCCTCTTCCTCTGTCAGGGAGATGCCTGACTCCTGTAAGGGCTCAGTAAATGTTTGTGGGAGGAAGGAATGCTTTAAAATTAATGCATGTTTCATAATCAGTTGGTTTATAAAATGAAAAAGTTTGAAAGGCCCTTTTAGCATTTGAAGACATGAGATAGTGATGTTGGTAGGTTATGAGATTTGCTCATATCTTCTTTAACTTCCATTTTTTTGTGCAGGCCCGAAGGCATTGAAAGACAGTACAGGAAGAAGTGTGCAAAGTAAGTATTAACCGTGTGGGTTTCTCTGAGCATATGCAAGTAGAGGCAACAATGTGTTAGAAACAGAATTATTGGTATGCAATTCCCTGTTATATCTTTATCCTTATAATCTCTATACAAGTAACAATATGTTTCTCAAAGACACTGGTCAAAGTTACATCTCTGATCAGCTGACCACAAAAATAGGTTTTTTAACATAATAAAATTTTTAAAATTTGAGGTGTAATTTATATGTAATAAACTTTGCCCTTCTTTTTTTTTATCCTCACCCGAGGACATTTTTCCATTTTTTATTCAGACACAGTGGAAGGGAGAGAGAGGAAGAGAGAGAAAGAGAAACATCGATGTGAAAGGGACACATCGAGTGGCCGCCACCCACATAACCCAACCAGGGCCAGGGACAAACTGAACTTTGCCCTTCTTAAGGGTACCATTTGATGGATTTTCACAAAAGCATGCAGTCATGTAATACCACCACTATCATGATACAGCACATTCCCAGTACCTCATGTGCCCTTCTCAGTGAGTCTCCTTCCTTACTCCTCTCCCCTGGCAATCACTGATTTGCCTTCTGTTACTGTGGTTTTGCATTTTCTAAAAGTTTATGTAAATTCTACAATATGTGTTTTACTATATACAATCTGTATCTTTTACATCTGGTTTCTTTCACTTACCATAATGCTTTTGGGATTAATCCAAGTTGTTATGTATATCAGTAATTTGTTCTTCTTTATTGCTGAGTAGTATTCCTTTGCACCAGTTTGTTCCACCATCCACTTGTTGAAGGGCATTTGAGTTGTCAATGGTTTTGGCTATTACAAATAGAGCTATTACGAACATTCTTGTGGGAACATGTGTTTTCTCTTGGAGTGGGGTTGCTGGATCATAAGGTAAATGTAACATAGAGTAATTTAATTCAGGCCCATTTATAAAGCCTGTTATAGGACCACAGACCTCAGAAGTTTATTTAATGCAATATATATATTTCCAGCTTTAGATGAATAGAATATTGGGCAGTAGTAAGTTTGATCTTGTTTTAGTAAGTACAGTTATATCTTGGCTCTCAGAAGACTCAGACAAGGAGAATTAAAGCAGGGATATGGCCAAGAAGGTATTTTTAGTTCACAGCCACACTGGATTCATTAAATTAGTTTATCAGATCTTATGGGTCTCTTTCATTTAGCTGAAAAAATATCATAAAAATGACCAGCCAAAGAAAGTAAGGTGATTACTACAGGAATTTGGAAACCGACCACTGCAGTGGAGCCTTTACACTTCCTCTTGACACTGTGAAACCAAAACAAAACTAGGCAAAACCCCCAAACTAGTTACCCAGACACTTGGGAAGAATGATTGCAGTTTTGGCCGGAAAGCAATCAGTAGCAGGAGCCAGTGTTTACCAGACTTTCTGATGATAAGCATCACTTGGGATGCTGAAGAAAATGACAAATTCCAAGGCCACACCCCCAGATTTGCTGAATCAGGATCTTCTGGGGGTGAGGTATAGGTGTCTGATCAGCAGTTGTAACAAGCACCCTCAGTGATTCTTATTGAGTAGTTTTGGGAAACAGTGGAAAGAGCACATCATTTTAATGCCACAAACAAAAATATTCCTGAAATCTGAATACACTTTGCAAATCACTGTTTTGAGATCTGTGTTCTGAGGCCTTCCAGAGACTCACTGTGCTGTTCCCAGGTGTGGATTGCCACTCTTCTACCAGTCCCAGCCAAAGAGCGCTCCCGTGACCTTCACTGTGCGTGGGGCAGTAGTCAAGTTTGGCCAGGGTTTGGGAAAAACAAATATATATACTCAGAAGCTAGAGCCTCCTAAGAAGGTAACTGTCATTTAAAGAGACAGGCTGGTTAATATAGCTATGGATTTTGCCCTGGCCGTGTGGCTCAGTTGGTTGGAGCAATGTCCCATACATCAAAGGGTAGTGGGCTTGATTCCTGGTCGGGGCACATACCTGGGTTTTGGTTTTGATCCCCAGTTGGGGTGTGTACAGGAGGCAACTGATCAATGTTTCTCTCTCTCTCTCTCTGTCTCCCTCCCTTCCTCTCTCTCTAAAAATTAATAAAAAGAAAATATCTTCAGGTGAGGATTAAAACGTAAAATAAAGATATAGCTATGGATTTAGCCCTCAATTTTTAAGATTATAGTGCACAAGAAACTGTCCTTTATGAATGCATTCTTTATTAAGAGAATGGCATTTTTTGTGCATAATATTGTGTTCTTTTTTTTTCTTTCCTACAGCTACCTGTGAGTCAAATTAGAAATTGTATGGTTTTTATTCACATTTATTTATTTCCAAATTTCTTCTTTTTCTAGTGTAAACAATTAAAAATAGAATGGATCAGGTTAATTTTAAAATATACTTTAGCCCAGCCGGAGTGGCTCAGTGGTTGAGCATTGACCCATTTACCGAGAGGTTGCTGGTTCGATTCCTGGTCAGGGTATATGCCCAGGTTGTGGGCCTGATCCCCACTGGGGGGCATGCGGGAGGCAGCCTATCAATGTTCTCTGTCATCGATATTTCTTCTCTCCCCCTCCCTTCCTCTCTCTCTCTAATATCAATAAAGAAAAAAAATTTAAAAATAAAATAAAATATACTTTAAAAGCTATTGATGGACAATGTTAGAAACATAATGAAAATAAAAACATTGGCACTTTTAGATAGACCAGCCTTTTTCAAAGAGGTGGGTGTCCACTCCCAAAAACTACGTTCCCCAGCACCCAGGCTTGTGCACACCTGCACACCCGTGCGTGAGTACACGCTCACAGAACTTCTTGCCGTATCTAGACTGATTGCTCTTCTGTGACTCCAGGTGATGATGACCAAACGGACTAAAGACATGGGCAAGTTCAGCTCTGTCACTGTGTCTACTATTGATGAAGAGGAAGAGGAGATTGAGGCTGTAAGTGCTTCTACTCTCAAGGGAATTAGACTGGGGGGTGTCAAAGGAAAGAGGCTCTAGAAGTAGAGCATCCCAGTAGCAAAATAATTAGAGACTGCTTATAGACCTTGCTCTGCCAGTAAGAAACTGTGATACCGGCTAGTTCCTGTGTCCCTGGATCCCAGCACCATCTGTAAAATGAGAACCAGGGAGTTGTACTAAATCGGTGATTTTTTTTCCATACTGTGTTTTTGAGATGTGATAGTGGGCAAATCCCTTATCCCTCTTCAGTTTAAATAGTATTGGGCTCAATGATTTCAGGTCCCTTCTAAGCTGGGTCTGATAGTTTCTGAGTCTGCCCTTGGCAGTAACAGCAATTACCTTTATGGTACTTCAGTATAAAGATGTTTACAGAGAGAGAGATGTTATCTGTTATTTTTTAAGTGGTTTCAGTTGCAACTTGAACTCTCCTGGATTACTGAAAAGCTGGAGTAGGAAGGGAACAGCCCCGCCATTTCAGTAATAATTTCATAATTTGAGTGGTATAAATTGCTACTTAAGGTCTCTGTTGTTACTCATTGGTGTGACTGCTGGTTTAAGGACACTTCTTTTCTTCCCTGCAGAGAGAAGTTGCTGACTCGTATGCACAGAATGCCAAAGTGATTGAAAAACAGTTGGAGCGCAAAGGCATGAGCAAAAGGCGGCTGCAAGAGCTGGTGAGTGGCATGTAGTGGCAGGGTGCTGGGCTGGACTATTTGGATCTCTTGGTCAGAAAGATCCTCCAGCAGTCATGGAAATCTTTTAGGAAGTCTGCCAGGGTTAGTAGTGTAGTCAGCTGCCAGCTGTCTAACTCTGGGCTGTGACTGTTGGTATACATTGTTCTGGAGTACTGACCACAAGATCCAGGCTCTTAATGACAGTACTTGTTAGCTTGCCCTAGCTAGAATGATATTTTACTCTGTTAATTGTGGTCCAAGGTCAGGAGTTAAAAATTGAGGTTTATGGATGCTTTCCCAGGATGTGATGACACACGATAGTGCTACATTTGTAGGACTGGGATTGGGGCTGGTCATTGCTGCTACTTCTTCTACTTCTTTTTCTTTTGTTGTTAATCCTTATCCGACGATATTTTTTTTTCTATTTATTTTTACAGAGAGTGGGGGGGGGGGGAGGAGAAAGAGAGAGAGAGATTGGTTGCCTCCTGCACGTGCCCCGACTGGGGCCAGGGATTGAACCTGCAACCCATGTATGTGCCTTTGACTTGGAATCAAACCTGCGACCCTTCCGTGAGAGGGCTGACACTCTAACCACTGAGCCACACCAGCCAGGGCTGGTCATTGCTTCTTAAAGCCCTGGTACCACCATCAGTTTCTGAATTATTCATGGGCTCATCATAGAGCATGCACACCTATATATGATGGTGTCTACATTTTTATTTTCTTGATAATAATTTACTTATGATATTTCTTTAAAACTCCACAGCACTTCGTTGGTGCCTCAATGAAAGGTATACCAGTTTATCCTAATGACTGTAGAGGATTTTTTTGGTGACAGAGATAGTAGGTCTTGGGAGCTGCTTTACCTTGCCATGGTGGTTTAGAGTGGTGTTTATCAAATTTTCTGAGGTGAAGGCCAGTGCTTTTTTTTAAAATTTCCAATTTGCAAGAACAGATTTATAATTTATAAAATGCAATAAAAATGAATTTGCCTCAGTTCTTATTAAATTATTTTATTCAATAATAAATAAAATAAAATGGCTATAAAAGTTTCTAAATGCTTACTCTTAATTTTTGTATATACCTTGCATGGACCAATAACAGTTCATGGACCACATGACTTTAAGTAACACTGGTCTAGAACAGTGTTTTCCTTTCTGTTGTGCCAAGAATAAGATACTAGTGCATCACAATGTAAATTGATTCCCTCAGCCCTTTGGAGGTCCTGGGGCAGGATCCCTGCACTGATCAACTTTGACTGAAGCCTTGTGCATTTACCCCATTTTTTAATACAGATATTATCATTTTCTATGTTTGCCATAACATCAGAAAGGTTGGAAAGCAGTTGCTTGATATTTATAAGGATTTTAGAAACACTATTCTATTTTGTATATGAAATGACCATGGAGCAATAGTGTTTGGGAAGTTAGAGTAAGGAAGGAATATAAGAATTTCATGTTATTTATCAGGAAATATACTTTTCTTCCTCCCCAGGCTGAACTGGAAGCCAACAAAGCAAAAATGAAGGGGACTTTGATTGACAACCAGTTCAAATGATCAGGACCTTTCTCTGAACCCAAGCATTTAGACCAGAAGGCAGAACTCTTTCTTTTTCTCCTTGTTATTGAATTTTTTGGGGTGACACTGGTTCACAAAATAATACAAGTTTCAGGTGCACAGTTCTACAACACATCATCTGTACGCTTATTGTATGTTCTCCGCCCCAAATCAAGTCTCCATCCATCACCATTTATCCCCCCTATACCCTCCTCCACCTCTCCACCTCCACTTCTTGGCAATCACCACAGTTTTCTGTGTTCATGAGTCAAATAACTTTTTTTTTTTAATACATGGTCTGGTTCCTACCTTTATGCCCCAGCAAAAGGCTTTATGTTGTTTCCTACATTCACTGAGGTCTTTGAGTCCATCTGACCAGCTTTCTAGAGATGAATTTGTTTAAATCTTTCTCTCTGTGGGTCTTCTGTAGTATTTTTTGTTCATTTGATGTAAACTTCTTTAGCTGTATAGAAACTCTATGAATAGATCAGTGCTTAAGTGTCTCTAGTTTCTAAAGTAGCTGGTCTTTAATAAAATGTTTAAAGATTTTTGAAAAAATATTATGATGTGTTAGAAAAAAGTGGCATGAATTAGATTTAAAGTTATAGAAAGTCAGATCCTTTTAGGTAACTGGCTCTCTTCTTAGACTGGTATCAAGTATGGTTTGAATGTCTTCTATTGTCAGAGAAAATCCAGAATCTGCTTTACTTCAAATGTGAAAGCTATAAGTGAGCCACCCCTTATCAGACTTTGTACTTAAAGAAATGAAAGCCAGATTAGAGTGAGGAGGTGGGGTAACTGAGACCTGAATGAAAATGGAATCTCAGCAAGCAACCCAGGGGAGCTACCAGCCTGGGGCGTAGCTAAAAGCACTGCTTCTGTGTGTGGGGACACGGGAGGGAGACATTAGAGAGTAAGTAGGACGCTGAGATTAAAAAAAAAAAAAGTATATGTTGGATATTTTATTTCACATTTGCTGTTTGTGGAGGAGTCTTACAGATATAAATATTTAATGTTACATGGCTTCAGTGATATCAGTGCGTAGTATTTGTACCCATGTTTTAATCTGTGCACCTGTATGAGGAGGTGTCGCCTGCACCCAGTGAGGTCTCTACAACTGAGCTGTCTCCACTGCACGTCCTGCCCTCATTCTGAGCCATAAAGAGGCACCATGTGGATAACCAACCATAACCTCCGCACAATTCCGTGACCTCAGCTCCAAACAGTGATCTTTACCTTCACGCCACTTTAGCCACAGACTCATGACCAAGCCTGGATGTCACCTATACCGAACCCAGTGCTCGGTTCCTGCCCACAACCTCCTATCACTGCTACTCTTACAGTCGCTTGCACTAAGCCTGTTTTGCTTTTAGATGCGAAGGGTAATTTTGGTGATTATTTTATTAGTAGCAATGATGAAATATAGTAGTGATAATGGTAATAATCCTAACTACTATGTGTCAGGTACCATGGAAAGCACTTTCTAGGTACTACCTTAATTTAAACAAGAAGATGATCTCACGAGAGAGGTTTAACTATAGTAGCCCTCCCCCTTATCTGTGGGCGATACATTCCAAGACCCCAGGGGATGTCTGAACCTTACATACCCTGTGTTTTCCCTCAGGCAGACATACACTCTAGGCTTCCATTGGCACATCCACACTGCCAGTATCACTCTTGTGCTTTGGGGCCATTATTACGTAAATAAGAGTTACTTGAACATAAGTACTATGATACCTTGACAGTCCATATGATAACATTGACGGCTGCCCAGAGATCAGTGGGTGGGGAGTATATACAGTGTGGGTGGGCAAAGGGTGGTTCGCACCCTAGGCATGAGATTTTAGCATTGCACGCAATTGAAAACGTATCAATTGTTTATTTCTGGAATTTTCCATGTAATGTTTTCAGACCATGGTTGACCATAGGTAACTGAAACAACCACAGCAAGCAAAACCGCAGATGGGCGGAGGGAGGTGTTCTGTGCTATCTGTCAGTATAATGTTACAGTGTGTACTCTGAGGCTCTGAGCGTCTCAGTTTCCCAACTTTCCACAGCCAGCGAGCAACGAAGTCAGAAATCTGACTGTGCAACTACACTGAATCTCATGTGGGATTTAAAATATATATATATTTTTAAGAACGGATCGCAATTTCATTTTGAGAACCCAAGTAAAGTGCAACGGAAAGACAATGGCATCTGGACTCCCTGCAGTAAATGGCAGTGACCTTCCTACGTATTCTCTGAAATGTTAATCCTGAACCATGGCAACATCTGGTTCAAATTGTATTTTGCTTCATCTTTAAGACTGAAAATTATTCCATCATTAGTACCAAGGAAGTATGTGTTCTCCTTATGTTTTATTCCTTCATGTTGAAATAGTTATTAAAATAACATGACATTGTTTCTCTGTTGTCTTTATTTACTTGTATTTTAGCAACGATTACAGTGCTTTAATGTTAGTATAAAGAGGCGTATTGAAATTTCAGGGTCTTACTCTATTTTTTGGTTTTTAAATTATCAACTGTGCTAAAATAGAAAATGTTATAAAATGTTTCCACTTGACACTTGGAAGTATAATGTTTGTTTAAGAGAAATTGAAAAGCTTTTAAAAAACTATCTTGTGTCAACCACTAGCTGTGGACCACCTCCCTTTCTCAAGGAAAAATCTACCCTTTTTTATTTCTCTGATTTTTGATTCTGCTTCTTCACCTGACTATTCCTCTTTTGCATTCAATTATAACAAAGCACACTCCATTGCACTTGAGCTTTTAATATTCTATATTTCTCAAGGGAAGTAAAAGGCATCACTTATGGTGAACTAAACATATTTTTCAAATTCATAGAACCTTGATCTTCCTGTTTTTTTCTAGTATTGAGATTCCATCACCATCTCTCTTCCTTTTAACCCAGCATGATCCTGTGATTGGTGATCTGAATTCTCCTCAGCAGCACCTTTAACTCTTCTTACCTTGATTTTTTTTCACTTAAAATTTTTTAAAAAATAATTTTAGATTTACATAAAAGTTCTAAAGATAGTACAGTGAGTTCCTGTATACTCTTCACTCTGGTTCCCTTAATATTAACATCTTATTATATAATGCTATGAGCTGAATTATGCCCCTCCTCCAAAATTCATATGTTGAAGCCCTATCGCCTCACTGTAATAGTACTTGGAGATGGGTCTTTGGGAGGTAATTAGAGATATAGATGTGGTCGTGAGGGTGGAACCCTCATGATGGGATTAGTTACTTCATACGAGGGTACTATCTCTGTGTCTCACTTTGTCTTTATCTCTCTATCTCTATATATCTGTCTGTTTCTGTCTCTGTCTCCATCTTTCTCTGTCTCTGTTTCCATTTCTGTTTCTATGTGTGTCTCTCTCTCTCTCTGAAGAGAACTTTCACCAAATTAGCAAGCACCTTAATCTTGGATTTCCCAAAGTCCAGAACTGTGAGAAATAAATATGTATTGATTAAGCCACCCAGTCTTTGGTATTTTGTTACGGCAGTCCTATATACAGGGTGGGGCAAAAGGAGGTTTCCAATTGTTCATATGGAAAATAATACAATGATTAATAAATAATAATACAAGAATAAACTCTGTGTTTTGCGTACTCACAACTGTAACCCTACTTTTGCACCACCCTGTATAAAGCCATATTAAACTGGTCAAAATTAAGAATTGAACACCGGGCCCTGGCTGGTTTGGCTCAGCGGTTAGAGCCTTGGCCCACGGACCAGAGAGTCTCGGGTTCGGGTGCAGTTTGTCCTCAGCCTGGTTGGGGTCATGTGGGTGGCAACCACTCAATGTATCTCTCTTACATAAATGTTTCTCTCTCTTCCTTCCTCTCTCCCCCCTGCTCTAACTGAAGATAAATGCAACAATGTCCTTGGGTGAGGATAAAAAAAAAAAAAAAAGAATTAACACTGGTACAATAACATTAAACTACAGACTTCATTTGAATTTCATTATTTTTTCTACTGTGTCCTCTTTCTGTTCCAGGATCCCACATTGCATTCAAGTCTCTCTAGTCTCTTCTGATCTGACAGTTTCCTAATAAGTGTGAGGTGTTATTTTATGGTTTTGATTTGCATTTCTCTAATAATTCGTGACATTGAGCAACTAATTATATACTTGTGGGTCATTTGTTCATTTGTATGTTTTCTTGGAGAAATGTCTATTCAAATTATTTACCCATTTTTAATTGGGTGATTTGATATTTTATTGTGAACATATTTTTATTTGCTAATTTTTCTCCGTATAACTTCTTTGTGAAAAGTTTGTTCAGATCTTTTGCCTGTTTTTAAACGGTTTGTTTTTTATTGTTGAGTTTTAAAAGCTCTTTAGTCTGGATATAAGTCTTTATGAGATATGTGATTTGCAACATCTCCCATTCTGAGGGTTGTCTTTTCATTATCTTAATAGTATACTACCTTTTATGATGCAGGATCATGCAGATTTTATTCTATATTTTTCTGTAGCAGTTGTATATTTTATACTTAGGTCTATGATTTATTTTGAATTAATTTTATATAAGGTGTGAGGCATGTGTAAAGTTTCGTTTCTTTTCTTCTCCTCCTCCTCCTCCTCCTCCTCCTCTTTTGCATATAGAGGTCCAGTTTAACAGCTATTTGTTGAAAGGTCCAGTTCAACTATTTGTTGAAAAGACTTTTCTTCCTCCATTCAATTGCCTTTGTACTTGTGTAAAAATCAGTTGACTATATTTTGGGGATTTTTCTTCTGTCTATTGTCTATGTTTGCACTAATACCAAACTATCTTGATGTAATTATTATTATAACTTTATAGTAAGTCTTGAAATCGGGTAGTATGAGTCTTATCACTTTTATCTTTTTAAGAACTACCTTGGTAGTTCCTTTGCTTTTCCATATAAATTTTAGAATTAGTTTATTGGTATCTTCAAAATTCTTGCTGGAATTTTTATTGGAAATCTGTAAAATCTAAAGATCAAGTTGTAGAGAATAAACATGTTAATAACATTGTATCTTCTAACCCATAAACATGTTATATCTCTCCATTTATT